ATTGTTACATTAGCTTGGTTTTGATTCTGTGAAATATGACTGTTTCCTCAATTCATGATCGAAATAGATGTGCATCAGGTATTTAAACATTTGAGTTTCAATAGCAAGTGAAAGTAGCACTTGGATTTTGCACATTTTTTTTTTGACCCGCCAGTTTGAAGCTTGTTGACCATTCACCAACATAATACACCTCTAAACAAAGAGGTAGCTGACATACTAATGAGTCTTAATGTGCACTGACGCATTTCAGGGCAGACACGTATTCTCATCAGCTTTTGACTAATCAGCAATTGACTCGTATTTCCGGACACGTATTAGGAGTATATTTTGGTTCACTTAGAATCCTCCTCAAATAAGTGTTTCAAGGTTTTTGTCGAAGATTGTTGCCAATAACAATGCTGACTAAAATCGGATTGGTTAATAATTAAGCAGAATGTGGTTCAATTCTTATTAGCCGTTTTGGGGAGAGCTCATTCTTGTAAATGACCAGCTCTAGTTTACGACCACTTTTTCAAATTTTCCACGGGTCTCCACGACAGCTTTGACTGTACTAGAAAGTCCGCCCTCCCCCAACTCAGGCGAGCCAGTCATTCTACATGCAAGTACAAATTAGAATTAAATAGAATAGAACAGAAAACTTTGTTATTAAGTGTCAGAGCCGTATAGGGACATTCCACCTGCACCCTCTCTATGGAAGGCATGATTCCGACAGGCCCTCATTAGATTGTGATTCCTACAGTTCCCAAATCTCCCACTTTCCAAAGGCCCTGTAGTAATCCGAGATTCCGAGAGGCCCTTGTGGGTAAAACGCTCATTCCAAAACCCTGTATTGTGGTCAAACTATTAGATTCCGACAGGGTCCTTCTGGATATCATTAAATTGTGCCTTCCATGGGGGAGGGAGTGGGGGGTGCGGATAACAAAATAATGGAATGTCCAAGAGCTTGGGAAAAAACCCATACAAATTTGGGGACAGAAAAAGCACGGCATGCATGCATGTTCACCAAGGCTTAGCTTATCGATGTACAGACAAGTGCAAAATAAGAAAATAATTTATAAAGTCATGAAAACAGAACACATTAAAGGAAAGATTTTACGCAAAGTTTTGTTAATCGAAAGACACGAGCTTAAAGAATCATTGAGCAAGTAACCGCAACTTCGTCAACTGTCTCTCGTTCCTTGAAACGAAAAAGTCTAAACTGTACTCCCAGTTTTAAGGGAATTACAAAGCGCAATGGTACATACATTGTTTTGATAGCTAAGAAGTTAATATTGAGAGTGTAACTAAGAGAAATTCAGCTTACCTGGCTACTGACGATGCCCAGCTCGGTCAGCTCGCTCGTTATCCGCCCTGCTCGTTACGTTACCAAAGATGGCCCCGCTTCGTTGTTTGACGTACAGATCGATCGCGGTTGGACATTTGGCCAATCAGAAACGAGTTAGGTAGGCACGTGATCAGAGAAGCGTAACGCAACTCATGCGACGAAAACTGGCGGGAACTTTTTGTTTTGTTGTTTTGTGTTTTTTCAAGAGCCATGGTCCCATTATCGCTCTTGGTTTTTTTTACATGGCGATTGGCGAACCCAAACAAAAATAAAATTCTCCCCAGGCGGTTTTTTGGTGTTTCTTTCAGGGATGCAGCCGCCCAAAAGCTGAACCACAGTCAAAAGAGAAAACGATCGGGGTAGGGTCTCTCGGCTACTCGGTCTTCTTTTAACCTTTTTTAAGCTTAAAAACACTGAAAAATGTTGTTCTAAGAACAATTCTTTTTAAACCAAACAATTTAATATCGATTTTAATTTTTCATAGTTGCCAAATTGGATAAGGTGATGCATGATTTTATTATGTTAAGCGGATGAAAAAAATCACTTGGTGCTTCTGTGAGTTTTGAGAACGATCACAATTATGGTGGGTTGGCCCCAACTCAAAATTTATGAGTATTCTGTATCACGGATCCAAACATCCATTTCTGCGACGCACAAACCACAGCGGAAATTTCAAGTTTTGACTCAAAAGGAAAGTTTAACTTCTTAGAAATTATCTCAGATAGCTCTACCACAAAAACAAATGTAATAGAGGATATCTCTTGGAAAATAATGTAAGATGGCTCTCCCCCCTTACAACAGTCTTCTTTTTTGAATCAATACGCATTTAAACCACAGTTGGATTCACTGTACATAAAAGACATTTCAAATTTCAAGTCAAAAGCTAAGATTAACCAGTAAAGAAATTTCAACACGTCCTCATCTCAGCATGAAGAAAAACTAGGCAAAGCATACATTTCAAATTCCACGCCCATGAGGAAAGCTTAACAGTTTAAAAAATAATCCTAGCCTGCAAGCAAGCTCTCCATTTAGAAAATATCGTGAAAAGTAATCGTGCGAGTGGCACACGAGGACGGACGTATGACGCTGGAGAGCTTCCTCGCAGGATGGAGGGAGTTGCGAGGAGTCACGCGAGAGACGAACACGAAAGGGGTCGCAAGTGGGACGCCGCTCGCT